GTTACCGGCCTTTTAGGGATAAGAGATTTGAGGATTGTTAGCTGTTCAGGGATTAGGGAGTTTGGGGAGTAAGAGAGGATAATTTGGTCTCTGGTTTTCTCACTCATACGACGAAGCGTTGTTTTACGTCAGTTTTCTGTAAGGCCGTGGTATCATTCCGGTCGAGCCGGCCCATTTGTGTCAAAACATGGCTCTCCCATAATTACTACTGCTCTTTCAGATGTATTCAATTAATTCAAACATTAACTAAAAATTTGAAAACTGAGCAAAGCTCTACTAGTTTCGAACCACAGAGGGGTTCTTCCTCATGAGCAGCGTGCGCGGTCGCGGCGATGTCGCGCAGTCTACTCAGTATTTTCACATAAGCAACCCGCGATTTTTAATTATAGTATGTCTCACGCTAGTTATTATAATTCAGGCATGTTAAATACACGTACATATGTAAACATTTTTAACATAAAATACTCATGTTTTGTATCAGATAAATTTAATTTTATGAATTAACACGGTACACTGATTTATTAATCATTAAACGAGTGGTTCAAATTGCAAACATGATCAAAACAATATGGGACAACAAACATCGGGAATTTAATATTACTAAAATAAAATGTTCATAATTCATAGCCAAGCTACCGAAATCTATTTATCTATATAGATAATAAAATTGGAGTGTGTTTGTAATATTGAAATTAATACATACATACATACGATACACATACCAAAATAATATTCTTACAATTTTTGTTTGTCTGTATGTTTGTGCTGGGTTATCTCTGTAACGGCTATACCGATTTTGCAAGACTTTTATTGGTAGGGAACTGATGTACTAAAGAATAACATAGGCTACTTTTGTTCTGGAAAATTGAAACAAAAAAGTTATGTTCTAAAATTCATATACCATTCTACAGTATTTGTATAAAATTACAACTGCTATAGTCTTATTAATGAAATTAAAATTATAAATATGCAAAAGTAAATTGGTTAATTTCACCAGTAAGTCACCACAGATAGGGCCCAATAGGGCTAATGCCGATACGGAACCGCGGAGGTGTTAACGGGTTGCCGGGCTCCGGTTCGAAGTGCAAGAAAAGGAACGGGGTGGATTTTAGTCATTTCTACATATAAAATGTACATAGAAGTGACGTCACGCGACATTTCAAATCAATTTATCGTCGAAAGTATTCGTTTCTGTAAAAAAAATAAAAAATACGTGTGTAATGTATTAAAGTAATCTACGAGACGACATTAAAATAAAAATTAGTCATCTACCCAATTGATGTCACTGTACAATGTAGCATTCATTTTTAACTATTTATGTTATGATAATAGGGGTGAACGGTTGATAATGTATCAAGAAAAACAATCAAATAAAATTGATGTCAATTCCAATCACAATCATCACTGACTTGTTACAATTCATTACTAACAAACAATACCACCACAATACAGTAATGCCATCAGTGATCAGATAATTATACCAATGTTATCCGTATTGTGTGGCTAACAAAAAACATAAGCTCCCACTCATTACGCCGGCCGGCCGTATTAATAGTACGCCATGCCATTGTACGATTTCATTTCGTCACGTGTATCGAATAAATACGCTACTGAATACGGTGAGGTTTTGTTCCTGAACCAATACTCTATAATACGCTACACACTTGTATTTTTCAACGAATTGGTTTTTAACATACAAAAAAATACATAATCACGCCTTTTATCCCCGAAGGGAAAGGCACTTAATGCCAGTGCACAATGTAACACCCACTTTTCACTATTTATGTTATGAGTGCCATGTAATAGGGGTGAACCTATTGCCATATACCGGGCACAATTCCAGACTCCGTGCTACCACTGAGATTTTTTTTAAACCCGTAGTAATTTGCCCGACCCGGGAATCGAACCCGAGACCCCTTGCCCGGCCGTCGCACTTGCGACCACTCGGCCAACGAGGCAGTCATTGGTTTTTAAATACTTCGAAAATTTTAAAGAACGAATTATTTAAATTTATAATCAAAATCTAGTCCATCAGTAAATTTTTTGCCACAAATCAAATAAATAGACAATACTAATACAACTTTTACTGTAGGCCCAACTCCCCCCCCTCCTTCCCAATCCCTGAACCACCGACATACCTCAAGTTCCTAATCCCCAGAAGATCGGTAACTAAACGTACACGTAAATGGTAAACGTATTTGTAACGCCTCTGGTGTTCCAGGTACCCATGGGCGAGGGAGATTGCTTACAGGTCGTATCCGTCTACTTGTTTACCGGCTTATCCCATAAAAAAATTACCCATCGACGTAATACTACTGATGTTGAGTTCCCTGTGGAGTCCTAGTTTTCAAAAACTAACTTTACTCCTAATTTTTTGGTTAGAAATCTACTATATAAAAATAAGTCGAGTTTTCCTTCCTGACGCTATAACTCCAGAACGCACGAACTGATTTTCACGGTTTTGCATTCGTTGGAAAGGTCTCGGGCTTCGTGAGGTTTATAGCGAATTCAGGAAAAAAATGTTTCTTCATCTTTTAATCACTAAACGAAATGTTACATAAAACGAAGCCATCTGGTGGCGAAACGGAGTTCGCCGGGTTTGCTAGTGACGTATATATGTTGCGTTTTGCAATATTACCTGGTTTATGACAATAGGCTGGTCACGTTTTATCTAAAGCGTTCGATATAATCCAGTGTACACAGGCAACATTTTTAGCTTTACATTTTAGTTCGCTATTACTGAGTTTAAAAAAAAATCTCAGTAGTAGCACGGAGTCTGGATTTGTGCCCGGAAGCAATAGGCTCACGCCCTATCACATGGGACTAATAACATATATAGTGAAAAGTGGGTGTTACATTGTACAGCGGCATAATGTGCACCTCTGCCTACCCCTTCGGGGATAAAAGGCGTGATGTTATGTTATTTTAGTTCGGTTTTTAGATACACATATTCCGTAAAAACTGAAAATAGGAAGAAATTTATTTAGATACAGAAAATAAGTGAGGCACAAACGCCAATTGTTTCGTAAAATACATGTTTGATATTTTTCCAAACATCGACCGATCGACATGACAAACAAAATATAATGAAATTTTAAATCAAAACGGCAGATTAAATTGTTCCAAAAAAATCCAATTTGGTAACTCACATAATTTTTTATTTAGAAAACAACACTCATTTGAAATGAAAACGTAGGCGACAAAAAATTCCACATTTTGATTCGCAATTAACAAATCTGTATTCACGACAGGCTTTGCTTAAAAATCCTTTACGCGTTTATCCATAAAGCGAGCAATGTAAATGCAAATTTTCGCAACGACACGGCATGCCCACCAGAGTCCTGTATTTTGTCAGCAAACACGTTTTTAATTAATTCGCTTATTTATTTGAGGCTATAGTGATGGGACGTGAACTATTTTCCCGGTCCCGGGATTTGAATTACTTCTTCCATGTGTGATTTGAAGACAAATTTCTTGATAATGTTTTTTGTGTCACATAAATTAAGCCATAATACCTATTACACCTACTGTTGCACATCTCTGCATCACCCCATGGTTGACTGTTAGAGAATGCCACCCGGCATTAAGTCCGTCATCGTATGTTTAATATACAGAAGTGTAAATAAATAAAAATAAGAAAATAAATGTATTGTAAAAATATTCGTATCTCTTTTTGTAATCATATTCAGAAAACTTTACTCTAAAACGTATTTTAATAATTATTATGTCGAAATGGCAAGTTCTATCAAACAAGACATGTGATGTTATATGTATTATTTCAAACAGAAAATTTAAACAATTTTTGCAACATACAAAAACATTGTTTTATATAAATATTTTATTAGCAAAGTTTAAAATAAACACTCGAGTATAATGTAAACGTTTGATCCCTACATCGAATAGTACTTAGATAAAATAAATAGTAAATCGAATACTGTTTTTTTTAAGTTCATGAATGCGTTTATATTTTTGTTTTAGTTGGTACTTAGTTTTCTATTTTCTTTTCTGACTACATGAAACGAATTATAAATTCTTTAGTATCAAAGTCAAAGTCAAGGCATTTATTACAAATAATCCTTATTAAGGCACTTTAGAAACGTAAAAAATTGAATTGTCCGTCCGTCTGTCTGTCAGTGAAGCTAGGCTCTCGTGCAAAGTGTAGTTTCGAATGGAGAAGAACGAGGAAGAAGGTCCATTGTACTCTTTTAAAATTACATATCATATTTATCATACTGACAAATAACACTTGCACCTAAGTTAAAATAGCCAATGATGTCAAAGTTATTATTTTATTGACATATCACGTCACAAGGTAGCTTTTGTCAAACAATCCCGGGATCGGCTTCAAAATCCCGGGCTTACATTTTCCAGCAGTGGTAATCACTAGTGTCGATGTGGACGATGGTGGCCGCTGGCGATATTATCCATTTTGCTACTTATTTGCGGCGTGTTGATTGGCTGCGGCCGTCTCATGATTATGATGTTCGGTATGGTAACTATCAGGGTATGTCACGGGATTGGCGGACTAGCTTATGCTAACCTGGCACATTCACTGAAATTAATAACCGATTTGAGTGTACAATTTGTATTTCGAAGTCAATTTTTTATTTTATTTCTATAGATTTTCGGTCAAAAACTTAAATTAGATTTATATAAAAGTAGTTGTTTTGCATGCAACTGCAGTACGGAACAGGTATCAATCCTATTTTACCTCTATGTTATTTTTATCAACAGTCCTATAACGGTCTATTTAACGACCATTCCTCTAAAAGTCACTAGTAATGTTACCTTCTTACCCCAAAAACATGGCAGATCGATTGATGATCGCAGAATAATTAATTTCAGGTGTCAGTTGCTGCCAATCTTCCTGATATCGTTGCTTTATGGCCTCTCGTGACACCCTCAGGCACAAAGAAGGTAGCATTCTCGTACATTTACCCCAAAAAAGTCCGGAATCTTAATGACAGTGTCACATCACTAAATTGTAACGTTCTTCACAGATCAACAACAAGGATTGGTGCAAGAAGGGACGGAAAGGTGGACATTGCAATATTAAGTGCGAAGGTATAACTCATCTAGTTTTTTTCGTTCATTGCGTTTTGAGTGCACGTTAACGTTGGTTAGGGTTATGTAATTACATACGACGTGACGACGCAACGTCGCGACGTCATTACTGCATTTTGAGTTTTGGTGATTATCTTTGTTTAGGTATTAAATACGAGAAGACCTCATGCTCGATAACAGTGTCTAACCGACTTCAGAAAGAGGTTCTCAATTCGAAATGTTTTTGTTTTTTTAATAAAACTGACGACGCAATGCGTATGTTATTTATTGCAATAATTATTTTACGTGTTAATTAAACAAGCTAGTCAGAAGCACACTGCATATATTTTATAAACAAAAGAAGAACATAAAATACTGAGCTCAATCTTCAAATTTTTACACTCAACCACCTGAAAGGTTCAGAAAATATCGTCTTTACCTCAGACTACAGTCCGTGTACCAAGGCGTAGTCTCAACTATTATATATTTTTGTAAATTTTGTAATTGTATTAAAAAAACTGTAATTTTTGTAAATTTTGTAATTTGCATGCCTCAAGGCGTAATATGGTCGGAACTGTATCTACTTATGTGCTAACAACTTAATTTACCCATATTAGCAAATAAATGATTTGATTTGATATAATACCCAATATATTTTTCAATTCTAGATCTCCTGAACGAGGACTTGGCGGATGACGTGCGATGTGCGAAGCGTATCTACGACCGTGTGGGGTTCAAAGCTTGGCCGACCTCATTCTCTTATTGCAAGGAGAACAGTCTGCCTGACTTGTCTAGATGCTAAGTTTAAGACCTAAGGTAATAGACAAGTGCCGCTTGATATCCATGATGACTCCATGTTATGATGGTAATACTTTGCGACGATTTGGAACAAAAGTTAAAAAGCCCTTATATAAACAGTACCTACCTATACCTAATTCTTACAATTATCAAAAGTCTAGATTTACTATAATGATATTGATCAGCTGCATAATAAAATCTTGAAGTATAATAATTCAAAAGTGAATTGATTTGAAACATTACATTAATAGTGAAAAGTGGTTGTTACATGGCATTAAGTGCTGTAATATGCACCTCTGCGTATCCCTTCGGAGGTAAAAGGCATGATGTTTTGTTATTTATGTTGATTTGAAACTATTGGCACATGTTTTATTACCCCGGTGGTCTTTTTACCCGCGTGTTCGATTGTTATTTAAATTAGATTAACTAGTATTTTTTTATATTTGTTTTTTAAAGGGAGTTTGGGAGTTTGCATGTCGGTAATGATAAACGTTAATTTGAATGTGGAACGATGTATTTTGTGTATTTTATTTATCATTTGTCATAATAATAAGACCTAAAACTAAGTCTAAGATATTTTTATTAAAGCGTTAGAAATATGGAAGAAATGAGACATTATGTAACTCTATGCGTAGTACATAGATGTTCTGTTAAAAAGGGCAATTTATTTGACAATCCATTTCTTAAATGTTTTTCTTCGCTTTAATGAGACAAATTAGTTTAATGTAGACCGAAAGAATAAGTTATATCTATAATTTTTATATCAAAACATTTTATTTGAAAAAATAAATTCATAAAATTTTGTTTGTATTTTTTTTACCAAATACCTACTTTTGTCAGCACCAAGTCAACAGGGAAAATTAAAATAACCCTACTATACTGTATCTAAAGTCGTGGTGATGTCACGGAGAACCTAACGGGTTACCGGGGCTCCTCCAGCTCGACGTGCAGGAGTAGGAACGGTGTGGTTTTTAGTTAGTAAGAGTCTGACACTCCCTCCCGCCTCACCCAGGCGGGAGCAGTAATTCGATGATTTTCGCCCCTTAAAAAAAATGTCGTAGTGGCCCGGAGGTTTAAGACGCCCGTTTCTCATGCATGAGGGTGCATATTCAAAACCACAGAAATATATCTGTGTTCAAAACCTACCAACGACAAGTACCGATGTGACTTTTTCCGAGTTATATATAGGTACTTTCTAAGATTATTAAAACACCACTGAAAAACAGTGAAGGAAAACATCGTGAGGAAATCTGGACTTATAATTTCTAATTATAAGTTTGTAATCGCCAACCCGCATTGAGCAAGCGTGGTGATTGATGCTCAAACCTTCTCCATGTGAGAAGAGGCGTTGCTCAGCAGTGGGCATTTATAAGCTGTTGGTGATGATGATGATGACAGTATGTACACTATAAAGAAATAAAACATAGAATAAAACGCATGCAGCAATAAACCCACGGTTTTGCAAATGTACAACTGCTACAAGGCAGCAGTATAAACTATACTATTCTATCAGAAATCTTCTTTACATTTTCAACTTTATCTCTTCGTACGAAGATTGAATATCTATTGTAGACATTTTACACAGTGATATGTTTTGATGTGCAGTTGTCTTCCTCAGTCATATATCGGTACGATGGATTCCCGAAGGATTTTTAATTTGATAACGTTACAAACGTTTCAGTGATATGAAATATTGATGGATTACGGAGTTTAGAGGAACCGGGACGGTATCGAGGTTTTTTTGGGATAAAAATGGGTTTTGATGGGGTTTTGATTGGGTTGGCTTGTTGTATTCGTATTCGTGGGTTTTTTTTAATAATTCGCTGTGTGTATTTGGTCTTCGTTTGTGTGTATTTGGTCCTATACGGTACGAATATTTGTATGGTTCACTGGCAAATTGCATAGTTTGGATTCTGGACCCCGGTATATCTCAAAACTGCAACATCTACGATAGTCCTCCAATGGAGTAGGTATGGGATGACCTCTAGGACTTTACATAAAAAGGTTTACCACAATCTTAGTAAGCGGGTTCAAGATCGCTGTTGAAGTTTCTAGTTTATCAGAGAACGTTGTTGTCAGATTTCTATAAAATATACACATTTTTTTTAAGGGGGGAAAATCATCGAATGACTTTTCTTACTGACTAAAAACCACCCCGTTCCTTCTCCCGCGCTTCGAGCCGAAGCCCCGGTAACCCGTTAGGTTCTTCGCGACGAAAAAAATATACACATTAGGATTATATTTAGAGGATGTCGTAAAAAATACATATTTAAAGGATGAGAGCCAGTTTTATGATTACACCACTCGCGTGAAGAGCACGGATGGTGACTAATATATTCCACTGTTACGTCATTAAAATATGGTGTATGCATTGTATCGTTTAAAAATATACTCTATTCAAACATGTTCAACATTTTACCCTTTTAATAATTGCCACGTCGAACTTTGTAACATCAGTAAGTCCTAACAGAAAGTTCGTTCAAATAACTCTCGAGTGTAATGTTGCTATAAGTATTGCTGCAGGCGTTTTGTTAAACTCATACAAAACTTTTACACTCAGTTTAGCAATACAGAGCTTCACATGAAAAGGGCATTTCATACGAATTAGTTAATGTACAAGTTGAATGTTTTATAATTTTCTTTTGGCGTGTTACCTAATTGGTCAAGCAAGATGTCATGACTGCCTCGTTGGCCGCGTGGTCGCAAGTGCGACTGCCTGGGTCTCGGGTCTCTTGCCCGGGTCGGGCAAATTATTACTGGGTTCTAAAGAAATAAAAAATTGACAGTAGTGGCACAGAGTCTGGAATTGTGTCAGGTAGGTATATGGCAATAGACTCACACCAAATACATGGGACTCATAACGTAAATAGAACGAATGAAAGAATGAAAAGTGGGTGTTACATTGTACGGTGGCATTAAGTGTTTTATGGTAGAGTAGCACCTCTGCCTACCTCTTCGGGAATAAAAGGCGTGATGTTATGTTATCATGTCATGACTTGTATGAATGACTTATCTCAAGTGGGCTTGATACCAAGTACCTACATTATTTTTGGTATACACATATTTTACTCTCTTTTAGTGTAATACTATAAAGCACGAAGCCAGGAATTTTCTCACAATTAAATTGATATCAAAATGAACAAAACGACATGTTTGTAAGTTCATTTCATCGGAGTACGCTCTCGAAGATTAGCTAAAGCCGGTCAGATGTTGAGAGCTAGCCTCTCAAATTTCCGGCTACCTGGAAAGGAAGCCAGTAGCCGTGTGAGACTACTTGTATGGAGTTACGTAAAGTTACCTAATAGTAAGTATTTTCGGTAATCTATATTATTTAATATTTATATATAAAATCAAAAATCAAAATAAATTTATTTGCTTAACAAAGGTGTAGTACATAGTGCCTTTTTTGTAAAAATGAATTATACTGCTACTTACTAGGTATTGCTTAAATGTTACCAATCCTTAAAAATTTGTTGTCTCGCAGCAATATCGACATACTTGAAACAAAAACACCATTATAAGAATTGAGAGCACCTTTTTTTATTATTAAGGGGGGAAACCATCGAGTCTTCTCCCGCCTGGGTAAGGCGGAAGGGAGTGTCAGATTCTTACTGACTAAAAACCACCCCGTTCCTACTCCTGCACTTCGAGGCGGAGCCCCGGTAACCCGTTAGGTTCTCCGCGACATCACCACGACATTACATAGTGACTAAGGTGGTATTTATTTAAGTTACTCAATAAACCAAGCAATCAGTACTTGCCAAATGAATATAACATGTTTTGCACACACGTATTGTGCATTTGTATTAATTTATAGTGTTATAATCATTTAAAAATAGGTTAGTCGATGTTTAATCGATTATACTCTAGATTAATCACAGCAAAACTGTTAACATCGTAGTCATCATCGTTGTTCGGCCGACCGTCGACGATTTTGTGTCGCTCGATATTAACGATGAAACATCAATGAACTCGCCGTTGTTTACATCTGTGATAGGGTTGTTAGTGAATCGCATAGTTAAGTGCCTAGCACGAAAACTATTGAGAAAATACTCGTATCGACATCGAAAGCATTTTCTATGATTTTGTACAGCGTGCGTAAAAGACACTAAATGTCGCAAGCACGAATGATTTTGACGACTATTGTATAGTAGTAGTAGTAGTTCACGTGTGGGAGAGCCATGTTTCGGCACGAATGGGCCGGCTCGACCGGAGGAATACCACAGCCTCACAGAAGACCGACGTGAAGCATCGCAAGCGTTGCTTCACGTCGGCGTCGGTGTCCTTATGTGAGTGAGGTTTCCGGATGCCCAATTCACCCCCCCCCCTTTCCCCAATCCTTGAATCCATACAATCCTCAAATTCCTAATCCCAAAAGGCCGGTAACGCACTTGTAACGCCTTTGGAGTTCCAGTTGCCCATGGGCGACGCCGAATGCTTACCATCAGGTGATCCGTCTGCTCGTTTACCGGCTTACCCCATAGAAAAAGTAATCGTATCGTGTTGCTATCGAAACTTAGAACATTTTGACACAAATTGGAAGCACGAACGATCTTTTAACGTACGGTAACGTAAGTTTCGAGCCTGGCTATCGAAAACTATCGAAACATTTGTCACTTACAATTTGCCGGTGAGAAAGTTTTCGAAACATTTTAAATAAACATTTAAGTGTGGGAGAGCCATGCTACGGCACGAATGGGCCGGCTCGACCGGAGTGATACCACGGCCTCACAGAAAACCGACGTGAAGCAACGCTTGTGTTGTGTTTCGTCGTGTGAGTGAGGTTACCGGAGGCCCAATTACCCTCCCCTTCCCCAATCTCCCCAATCCCTGAATCCCCAACGATCCTCAAACTCCTAATCCCCAAAAGGCCGGTAACGCACTTTTAACACCTCTGGTGTTCTAGGTGTCCATGGGCGACGCCGATTGCTTACCATCAGGATCCGTCTGTTCGACTTATGCCATATAAAAAAATTAAGATTTTACGACGATTTTAAAATAAAATAAACTAAAACAAGTAGTGTACCTATGTATGAAATGATTTATTTCGGACTAAGGCCTTAGGAAAGACATAAGAAACAATAAGTGATCAATAAAACAAAACTATCGTAAAACCATGCAAAGCTACTTCCATTGAACATTACGCACTCGTATCATCATAAAATCACACCTATCTTTAACTGTATAAAGCAGATATTTATTTAAACACCTGCTTTTCCACATTCACAATGAAACGATATCTCTTATCCATTCAAAGAGCCAGTCTATCGCTTCACTGGAAATGCTTGTATTTAAACAAATATCAACTTTATCTTCTTTACAAATAGATGTTATTTTATAATGACACGAGTGCCATAAGTTAAATGTATGCAGATTAGCTTTGTCAGTTCTAGTGATGTGCTCTGACCATTGCTATCGTGTGTCATATCTTTAGCTTCCGTAACGTAGACCTTTATGCTAGGGTGTTATACGAGAATCAATCTTATTAACAAGGTTGTAAGGTTGGTATTTAAAGTTTTAAGATAAACTAGTGAATAATGAAATGCTCTTTGTTTAATACTTTTTTGTTCACGACTTCTTTTGCCAACATTCGGAAACTGCTTGATGAAGCTGTGTGAACAATCAAAACTTGCTCTGATAACTAAACATCAAAGCTTTAGTATCACAAATACTAGTAAAGTTTAATAAAAGACTGCCTCGTTAGCCGAGTGGTCGCAAGTGCGACTGCCGGGCAAGGGGTCTCGGATTGAATACCCGGATCGTAGTAGCACGGAGTCTGGAATTGTGCCCGGTATTGGCTATACTCTCACTCGCTGTAAAAGTGGGTGTAACATTATACAGTTGCTTAAGTGCCGTAATATTCACCACTTCGGGGATAAGAGTCGTGATATTATGTATATGTCTAATAAAAGTTCTGTAACTATTTTTTCCGACTGTAAAACCCAAAATCAAATTAACCTTAACGACGCAAGAATCGACACAGGAACTCAATACAAGCCGGTATAACGAACACCAGCCCATTATCTCCAACAACGACCTAATTCCGGCCTAAAACTGGTTTCCGAATCCAAAGTGATTTGCATTTGAGCACCATTAAAGGTATTATCTCAGGTATCATCATAATTGACAATAATTAAGCGATCTCCTTTGAGATAATCGATATTGATATCACTTCAAATTGATTGTTTATCGATTATAAATTGAATAATTTAGGTGAATCGGTTATAAAATCGATTTGAGGTAACCTGATAAGTAAACATACTTATCAGGTTAATATTCGCACCTTTTGATTGGTAATGGAGTAGACCTTTTTCCGAGTTGTATGTACATACTTTCTAAGATTATTTAGACACCACTGACAAATGGTGAAGGAAAACATCGTGAGGAAACCTTATGATTTCTAATCATAAGTTTCAAATCGCCAACCCGTATTGAGCAAGCGTGGCGTGGTTGAGCAAAGGTGTGAGAAGAGGTTTGGAGTAGACAGTGATAGTTGTTACATTGTGTACCTATCTCAGTTTTGTATAGCAATGGGTATACGTGTTATCTTATAATGCGACTTAACAAGAGCTAATTTGCAAACATAGGTCAGAGTTCGTAGGTAGACTTGTTAATGGGCCAGACAAGCGCAAATACAAAAAGATGCACACTTCCAGGCTATTGGGTGGTGTGAAGGTAGATAAGACCTCTGTGATGGTAAAGGTTAATGACCCAATCCACCAATTATTCCTCCCCAAAATCAACCCCAGTAAAAACAGAACAGCGCTGGTGGCAAGATTGAAGTCAGCCCAGCTATTGCTAAGGAAATGAAACAGGAGTTGGAGAAGCTAGAGATGCAATATGGCGGTGGCTCCGGAGTGGACATGACCTCATTCCCTACCTTCAAATTCAAGGAGCCGAAACTGGACCTCATCAATAAGAGTCTCGCCAAGTGAACACCTATTTATTAACGAGTGATTCTTTTGTCATGGTATATTTATAAGTGTATAATAATTTCATTGGATTAGATAGTAAAAAAACAGAAGGCAGACAACGAATTTGCAACGAACGGTGTCATCAGTGACAATTCTCATAATAAGCAGAAACTACGAACTAACCCTTTACGATCATTACTCACTTTTTTAACTTCCAATACGTCCATATATCTAAATATGCATATCACACTCTTTTTGAGAATGTCATCATTGATGCAATATTTTGGAATAAAGAATACCTTAATGAAATCTGTGCTCTACTAGTTTCTACTAAAAATCTCACGTATTCATAGCAACCAATTAACAAAAGCATAAAAATTAAAAGCCCATTACGATTAAATTTTGAAGAAAACATTACCTGTATCTTGTTTTAAATACGGTATCGTTTTATCGAAGGGATTTAAATCCCATTGGGAGAACAAAAACCGGCTTCTCCCATGAATAAACATATTTAATTAATTAAGTACCTTTTTGATTATAGGTAACTGTGCTATTAAACTTGTGATGACTTTACTTTAAGTCTGGTATTTTATTTCATTCCTGATGCTTATAGAATGTTCGTAATAACTATATACAGAGCGTAAAGGGAATGCTCCCGTAAAATACTGACAAAAATAAATATGATTAGTTTCACATCACATAATAATCACATAACGTCACGCCTTTTGTCTCTAAAGGGGTAGGCCAAGGTGCACACAAAAGTAACATCCACTTTAAACTATTTATGTTATGAGTCCCATGTAATAGGGGGTGAGCCTATTGCTACATACCGGGCACATTTCCGGACTGTGCTACTACTGATATTTTTTTAAAACCCAATAATATTTTGCCCGACCCGGGAATCAAACCCGAGACCCTGTGCCCGGCAGTCGCACTTGTGACCAGTCGGCCAACGAGCCAGTCATTAGTTTCAATTTATACCTAAAATCGTACCTAAGAGATTCGGTCGCAAATTTAAAAAATCACAATAACCAATAATTCTGAGTTGTCACGACATGATAAAAACTAAGGCTTGATGTGAGAATCATGCATATCAGTGCACTACATATTAAATTTGTTTTTTGGTTTTGTTGCCACTCTTGAAGAACCCTAACTAAATGTAACAACGCATAGTGATGTGAACGAATGCAATCGAATAAATTATCCGATCGTATTTTTTTATTTAGAATTCGATTGTTTTGTAATCGAATGAAAATTTGTGTGCGTTTATTGAATTAAATAATCAACTGAATACATTTATTTCATGGTCGGAATAGATTTAACTAAATCTATTGAATTTCCTATTGATATTGATTTTGTTGTAAAACATATTTGAATTTGTTTTTGGAATTTGTGTTTTTATTAGCAAATAATATTTATTTATTTTTTATTTATTTACACTTTTTGTATATATACAATGGCGGACTTAATGCCTAGTGGCATTCTCTAACAGTCAACCTTAATATACCTACCTAATTCTATTTTACCTATTTAATGTTAAAAAAAATAATGTTTGGTACAATAGTTTAATTCCAAATTATAATTATAAAATGTTTTGTCTTTAGTTTGACTGAATCTGTTTTTTTATGGGATAAGAGACGGATCACCTGATGGTAAGCAATCGCCCATCGCCCATGGACACTCGAAACACTAGAGGAGTTACAAATGTGTTACCGGCTTTTTGTGGATTAGAAAGCGGATTGTTGGGGATTCAGGGATTGGGGAGATTAGAGCAGGGGGGAGGATAATTGGACCTCCGGCAACCTCACTCACACGACGAAACCCAACGTAAGCGTTATTTCACATCGGTTTTCTGGTCGTCGGTGGCTGTGGTATTGGACCACTCCGGTCGAGCCGGCCCATTCGTACCGAAGCATGGCTCTCCCACAATTAATTGTGTCCACACTTGTTTGATTGGTCAAGGGTCATAAATTCGACCACTTAGGTACAAGGTCTGGGTTTTAATTAAGCAATGGTTGTCTTTCTATTTCTTTTACTCTCTAGTCACAGACATCTTCTTCTGAAGATGCTTGTATTGGACTATAATAAAACTGAATTTAATTACCATCCATACGAACAGCCGGTGACAAATATAGTTATGTCATAAACGTTTATTTCTTCAAAAAATTAAAACAGATTGCCTCGTTGGCCGACTGGCCGCAAGTGCGACAGCCAGGCAAGGGGTCTCGGGTTCGATTTCCGCGTTGGGCAAAGTAGCACGGAGTCTGGAATTGTGCCTAGTATATGGCAATACGCTTACCCCCTATTACATGGGACTCATAACATAATAGTGAACAGTGGGTGTTACATTGTACAGTGGCATTAAGTGCTGTAATGTGCACCTCTGCCTCCTCATTCGGGGGTAAAAGGCGTGATGTTATGTATATGTTTTTTGTATGTTAAAAACCAATTCGTTGAAAAATACAAGTTTGTAGCATATCATAAGATTATTGGTTCAGGAACAAAAACCTCACCGTATTCATATATTTATTCGATACATGTTATTATGTATATGTTATGTTAATTATAAAACAGTAGTATTCATAAGAAAACACTTGATTTCAATAACATTTCGCCACTACGTTAATCAAAAACTTAGGAATGGTCTTAAGCAAAACATATGTTACAATATTAGGGATGTTTGACCACCATTATCACCACATGTGGTAGGTACGTGGCATGTTTGACAACTTGAAAGTTATTACTGGTGAACTCCAAAAATTTGAACAATGTATCCGGTCTTAGGTGCAGTTCTGATTAAATTATCGGTTTAAAAACCACAATATATCGCATTGAAACAATGCGTTATTCCAGCAATATCTACCTCCACAAAATTAGGCAAAAACCTTAAAAAAATATCGACCAAATTCATTTTTTTAATAGAAACTGCGCGTCAGACCTTTCCTATAAACGTGAACCTTTTAAATTAAACTGCTACCTCCAACGCACCTACCATGAAGATCATAGCAAACCTTTTTATATAGAAGATACCCCATGCTTGGAGCTTGGGTCTTCTCTTATTGTCTTCGATAACAGTTGGAGCATAATGCTTCAACACTTCTGTCTCAGGTTTTTTGATAACAATAATGATGTTGAAACATAACATGTTTTTTAAGTTTGCATTTGTATTTTTTTTATGGCTTAAGCCGGTAAACGAACAGACGGATCACCTGGGGGCTTACTCTTGAATCCAATTCCGATCGATCGACATTGGTATTGTGAAATTTCGTACTCTTGAGTTGCAATACTAGAGCCCATTGCATCCGTATTGCGTAGATATTGAATGAACTAAATGGTATTGAGTTTGTCTTTATATTCCGTACTCTGAATGCTATTGTAACAGCTAAGATTGTGGTTGTATAGTGTTGACATTTAATAATTATTGAGATCATATTGGATTGAAATTGCATTGACATTGAGATTGGTTTCAAGAGTAAGCGCCCTGATGGTAAGCAATCGGTGTCGACCATGGACACTCGGAACACCAGAGGCGTTACAAGAGCGTTACCGGCCTTTTGGGCGTTAGGAGTTTGGGGATCGTTGGGGATCCAGGGATTGGGGAGATTGGGGAAGGGGAGGGTAATTGGGCCTCCGGTAACCTCACTCACACGACGAAACACAACGCAAGCGTTACTTCACGTCGGTCTTCTATGAGACCGTGGTATCACTCCGGTGGAGCCGGCTGGAGAAGCATGGCTCTCCCACACTTATATAAATTTTTACCTACAACACTATAGTCACATATTTACCTGCCTACCTCAAAATAAGAATAACATGTGTTACATTATCTACATACGATGATACAACACAACAACAGAACGTCCCATTTGGTGTCGCCCACAATAAGTTGACTCATCTTTCCATTCAGAACTATACGACCTGTTTTACCGAAGGTACGTGTCTGCTACGTTTTTACATATGTACGTCGTATCTACAAAGTATTTACATTTGGAACATTATCTACACCATCATCATCGTTTCCATTAACTGCTAGACTTATGCTTCACCAAAAGCACGCCATTAAGCTTAATTTTCATTTCTTTTGGTACTATTACTGAGGTTAATTTTCATCTCTTGTGGTACTATTACCTACACATGTTCTGAAATAGCCTACTAAAAGGCGTCCTATTGAACATGCCCAAAAATGTTCAAAAATCGAACGCGTGTCGATTCACAAACTTGTCTAAAATGAGCTCGCCGTCAACTGGGACTGGTCAGCTCCAGACTGTATTTTTTTACTGTCCTTTAAGGTTATTTTTTTCGATCTCTTTTACTATATTTTAGTGTTACATTGCTCTCGCATAATCCAAACAATAAAACTATGTAACTAGAGAATTGTATTGTGAACCTGATTGAAAAAGAGTAACCTATGGAGTTTCTTGCTCGTTCTTCTCCATAGGAATCTACACCTTGGAATGAGCAAATAGCTTCAGTTTTAATTTTTTTTTTTTTTGTTGACGTTCAAAAGTGCCTTTCTGGTCTAATTTAAATAAATGACTTTGACTTTGAGCATACTAAGTTTGAGCAACATTCAGACACACATGCTACTAAGTGTCAAGTGTTCAATTGAAGCATGCTTTCGTGCTTAAAAATATCATGTGTAACAGTACTAGGGCATGTAAAACCGGTTTTCCGGTTTTGCGCAAAATCGGAAATCGGCCAAAATTTTACGATTATTGAAAACCGGTTTTGAGAGCCAAAACCGGAGCTCAGCTCCGGTTTTCCCATTATTAAGTAACAATTAACATTTTGTTTTAATCAAATTTTTTTCAAACACTCTTACAAAAATAATTAATATTGAGGCATTTAATGTATCCGAACCGAACACAGCCTGCATCCACCCATTTTCACGCCTCCCTCCACTACCCCCGCCTGATGCTTAACTAAATGAAGTGCATTTTCGTAGTCGATAAAACATATTATCAGCACGTCCGTTTGCATTTCTCTGCATTTTTGAAGAGATGGAGATTCTGAGATCGTTG